ATTGACAGTCTTACACACAACTGTTTGGCCCCTGGCAATGCGTCTAGACAATGTCTGTTATTTATTTCAGCTCTAAAAGATATGCACTAAATACAATGGTCATCACATAAAAAAAAAAAAAAGCATCTAAAGAAACAGGTCTGTGTTGTCTATTTCCTTTATGCTTCAATACTGACAAATTATTGGAAGGCTGCTGGTCACAGCATCATAGCTAAATTAGTCCTGATATTAGCTATGTACTGGAGCTCAACAAGCAGGTACATACACATAGGAAATGAGTACTTTAAAAGTTGCACACAAGAATGTGGTGTTATTCAGGGAACATTTTACTTAGTCAAAACATTAAAAATCCCCATGGAAATAGGAAAAAAAATACCTAAATGTCTTGTTTTTAACAGCATCACTGACAACACTCTCTGAAATTCTCTGATACTGTGCAAGCATGCTACAGTCACATAAACAAGTACAATTTGTATAATGATTTGTCATTATGATTACATATGTGCCCCTAGCTGACAAAATCTACCAAGAAAGAAACAAAACTACCCAGAATGAATGTACCTAGGTAGCCAAGAAGGTCCATGGCATCCTGACTTGTATCAGCAATAGTGTGGCCAGCAGAACCAGGGCAGTGACCGCAGCCTTGTACTCAGAACTGGCGAGGCCACATCTCCAGTCTTGTGATGAGTGGAGAAGGCAACTGGGGTTGCTTAGGCTGGAGAATTTGAGACCCAAAGAGGACCCTTATCTCTTTCTGCAAACACCTGAAAGGAAGTTGTAATGAGGTGGGGGTCAGCCCCTTTTCCCAGGTAACAATAACAGGAGAAGAGGAAATGGCCTCAAGTTGCACCAGAGGAGGTTTAGATTAGATACATGGAAAAATTTGTTCACAGAAAGAGCGATCAGGCACTGGAACGGACTGCCCAGAGAAGTGATGGAGTCACCACCTCTGGAAATGTTCATTTGATGTGTAGATGGGGCACTTAGGGATGGGCATGGGCTAATAGTGGACTTGGCAGTGGACTTGGGATAATGGTTTGACTTCATGATCTTAGAAGTCTTTTCTAACCTAAAAAATTCTATGAAAATTTTAAAGAGGTATTTTAGATGTTGAGCCTATTACCTATTTTATTACTGTGGCATACACGGTATCTGTAAAGAGGCAGAAATGCAAACTGGAGACTGACTCTCAAAATGAGTATGTATGGTGAAGACTTCCCTTTGTAAAAGACTGTGGAGAAAATGAAAAATGCTGCAACCAACAGAAAATAATTTAATTCGAAACGAACATGCTGATTAAAAATCCAACTGCATAAAAAGGCAAAGGAAAAGTATACATGGATTTTCCTGAGCCAAAGCCTCATTCTTTTCAAATAAGAGAGCCTTAATGAAAGATTTATCATAATAAACTTTGCAGTAGTTTGAGCCATCAGCTTGATTCTGCGGCTGCTTCAACACAAAGTTTTCACTTAAATGGATTTGCATAAGAGAACCATTTAAAAATGGATACAAAGGTCCACATTCAATTAAAACCTTTGCCTTAAAGTATAACTTTCTAAAAGAAAATATAATGAATGTGCTTTTTAAGTGTAAGCCAACATTTCTTTTAGAACAGCTCTTTAGCATAGAAAATACACAATGATATTTTTTCTTTCAAATGTAAAGGAATATGGCAAGAGAAGTTATGAAGAGAGATTTATCTGCTGCAGGCATTATAACGGGTATTATAAAAGCTGAAGAAATTTTACTAGAATAACTGCAGAAATTTTGCTACAATTTTAGATTTCAAAGGAAGAAACAGTGTACTGTGCATTGCTCTTTTGACTATCCTTAGTATTCTTAATATACTCATCTATTTTACTTGAAATGTACACACACTTAAACTCAATTGTAAATTTAGTGCTACGAATGCCTTTGAAATAACCTGGCAAATTCACCTCTCCAGGCCATAACAATCCAACTTATGCTACACCTCCAAACTTTTATTCTTTATAGGAAAAGTACTCTCATAACAATCAGTACAAAGTTGACAGAATAATATCTTATGATTCCAGAGTGTATTCTCAACAACCCCAAAGATTTTGTAACACTGCATACTTATCTCACAGCTTACATTGTATCATAAGCCAGAACTCAGGTTTGACGAAGTTTTACTGTCATGCTTGTAGTGTGATTACCTACTGACAACAACAAAGAGCATTATAAATCACTGGGATACTAGGGGTGATTGATTAGGCAAAAATAATGGTCTTTAATATTTCTTTAATATATTCACCAGATTTTAACACAGTAGTATTAATTAAACATAAACAAGAAGATGTCAGAGAAAGCATAACAGGTTTGAACTTTGCAAATCATTACAGAGAAGCTACTATATTACAGTATAAGATTGGCTACAGACTAGAATGCAATTCAAACACATTAAATTCTGCAGTAAAACATTAAGCTGTTAATACACTAACAGCCTTCAATTACTGATTGCTCTTCCACCTTTCAGAGTAATATATTAACAATTATTTCCACTGCATCAATAAACGCTTTGTGAATCTTGTACCACAATCCAGCAGGTAGCATTGAAACCAGCATAACTAGCAGCCATGATGGAAATAAACTATTTTAATGCAGTACATTAAGGGTCTATTTATATCAAAAGTCTCATCCAAAAAAAAGACATGGACAACCTAAAAAAAAATCTTTTTTGTTTAATAGGTCTTTTACTAATTTGGAGTAGTCAGAGTACAATTACTTAAATCACAACAGAGTAGTCCTGATTCTACCTGCTTTTCTGTGGTTTATGTTGCTGTCACAAGAGATGACATTCATCTAGCTCAGAGTACATACAGGAAGCTAAAGGCAGCAAGGGTGTAAGATCCTGCCTGCTACAAAGCACACTCTGTCATAAGCCATGCTGGAGACTAAATCAAGCCATTTTTCTACTGTCAACAAATACTTCTGGAATAAAGTAATATTTCTTCTCCTGTGGCTACTCAGCCAGACTACATGTCATTTTCCTACTACAGTTGCCAGCTTGCACTGTAGCAGCTGATCAAGAAAACTGAGGATTTCACTAGTACATTGCTCATCAAGAAGGATCTGCTGCTGTAAAAATCCAGGCTATAACATACAAAAACACATTAATTTTACAACCCCAAAGCTAAGACATTAAGATTTCTGAAATTCAAAATAAAGGTAGATTGGGAAACTTTGATTCTGCTACCTGCTCTGTGTGTCTCTTAACCTCACACTACATATGCATGCAAAATAATCACATGCTTTCCTTCAGACTAATGAATCACTCAGTACTCAGGATGAACAAAGCTCCAGGAGGAGCCTTGTGGAGCACTAATGATTTACCCACAGCATACAAACCTTGTTTAGAGAAGATTTTTAGTGAACATGATTGGCAATCACAGTAGGGAGGATATGCTGTCATGCATTAAAATGTTACTCCTCAGAAACAACTGCAGATTCCATCACAGTGTTTCCTACATGATGACAGGTATGTAAGTCATAAACCACCTTCCAACCTGCAAGGTTTTCCAGAAACTCCATTCCTGGGAAACTGAGAGGTACAAGACAGCCCTGCAACTGAAGTTATTGGACATATTCCTTCTGCACTTGTCCTTAAACTCTTGACTCATTTAAAATTGTTCCTGAAAAATACAGCGCTTGGGAGTTCTTGCAGAATATTATACATTCTCAGTCTTTTTTTTTTGCCTCAGAGTCTTTCAGAAGCAAATCACAGATAGCCTGCAGTCAAGGTGAACTGTTGCTGTGTTGTGCTTAACACCAATCTTACAGAAAAGGCCTTAGCCAACCCTCTTACCTCTGATCAGAAACATTCCCATCAAGTGAGAAGAAAAAGTCCAGTGGAAGACAGCAGCTGGGAGAAACAGCTGCTACTGAAAGTATCTGCATACTTTCAAGAAGCAGCTCATTACTCAAACAGAAAATCTACAGAAGCTAGAAAGATCATAGGATTCCAGTCTCAAACTGCAACCAAAAATTTCAGTCAAGATTATAGTTTGCCTGCCTTTACTTTCATGGTTTGTAGCTTGAGACATCTTATTTGGTGAAACACTGAAGACTCACACTTGCAACTGTGATTTAACAATAGTTGAAGACAGTCCTAACAATAAAACGAAGAGGAGGTAATAGAATCCATGCTGACAATTTCATCTCAGCACATTAGTTTTTAAAGATTAAGTAGCTGTTCCTCTTTACAAATATTCAAAAGAAGGCACACAATCGGTTTAAAGGAAAGATGAATCTTGGCAACATCAACTGACTCAAACCTTGTCTGCAGTGCAAGCTCTGACGCTTCATTCTGACAGTCATGATAGACAAAAACACTGGATCTCTCGGTGCATTCTCTAAATATACTAACATTGACCTTATGATGGGCTTCCACAGTAGCTGCTTTAAAGTGAGACTGTCCCTGTGCTGCAAAAAACACTCATTTCAAACTCTTCCATGGTGGTAGTTTGTCACAAATTGCTTTTTCTGCTTTTATTTCTCCTCTTAGCAAAGAAATAAATGCTTTTTTATCCCAACTCACAAGAATACTCTATAGTACTACTTTCAAACGTATCTGGTCAAATTTCTGTTCATTGTGAACAATGAGTAAAATAATCACTGAAACTTTCAGTACAAGTAACCAGAATTTGCTTTCATTCCCTGTTAAGAAATGGTATATTTAATTTTACCTTTCTGCTTCTACTGTCAAGACTATTGGTACAATGGAGACTGTTCATTAAAAATTCCAACACTGACATGTCATGAAATTCCAGAGACTCATATAAAAGATGCCAGTAAAGTAGCGCACAAAACAACAGCATGCCCAACATCACCTTTCCAAAACATAATCCAATCAGATTTAGAAATGGTGAACTTTCAAACTCTTGGAGAGCAGGAAGGCAGGAAAGTCAAAATAATTACTAAAGACATTGCAATAATTCATCCTCTCTCACAAATACTGTCAACTTAGACAGTGACTTTACCTTGAGAAGGTATGTAGGAATATTGCTGAAATCAACAGGCAACTTCAAGAGGAAGCGAGCCGAGAATTCTCCAGTCTGTGGAAAAAAGGTAACATTAATGAGACCTGGTAGCTAAAGGAGAACCACAAACATTCTGAAGACTAAATATTATCCAGAAAAGCATGTAAGAGCTCATAACAAAGAGAAGGGATGAGATTTAAAACAAAATTGCTGAATAGAAGTACTGGAGGGGAAAAAAATATATTATAGCTTTCATAGGTGCCACATGAAAAAACACCTTAAAAAACATTAACCCTCATTGCCAGTAAGTCAACAGCAAAAAGTAGTTAGAATAAAACAATGTGCATGACAAAAAATCAGACTATATTTTGTTACACCCTAAATATAGATGTATCTTGGCCGTACTCATTTCCGGACAAAGGTCTGGCGAGAGCTGCAAAGAGCCTGAAAGCAAAGCTAAAAACCTGACAAATTGATGAGAACACATAGATAAAACAGAGGCATCTTTACAAACACTGCAGATATATGTAAGAGAATTTGTGTTTCGAAAGTTGAGCACGTATCAAAAGCGTCCTCTGAATAAAGTTAGAGAAAAAGAGTTTAAGTAGAAGGTTTTTAATAATTTGTCTTCAGAATTATGTAACTCTAAACATCTAGACAACCGTTTACTGAAAATCTGCCAAGTGTCCTATACACATTGCTCTTTTTTACGTATAAAGGGTATGTGAAGGAAATGGAAAGGATTTCCTCTCTGTTTCATACACTTCCTTAAAACCAGACTTTGTCCACCTGGTTATAAAGCAATAAAGTTAACTGGTTTTTAAAAACACAATACCTGCCTGATTTCCTCCTTGTTAATTTTTTGTTATCTCTATTTTTTTAGTTCAGTATAGTAGCCACATAGCAGCTATATTTGTTTGGTAGGTTGAATTACCAGTAAAGAAAGTGTTAAACATCGGTTTTATGCAATTAATTATAAAAAGTGGGATAATTTGAGACAAGCTAACCAATTCGTCAGTGCTGATCTGATTCTGGGTCTATCTACCAGGTATGAACTAGAGATAACTCATTCTACCTTTAAGTGACTAAACAAGAGAAAACAAGATTTGGAATGGAACTGAAATGTTCCCAATGGCACCTTTCAAGTCATTTCATTTGCCAAACGGGTTTGTGTGATGTTGGGCTGTAATTCACCCTTATGCCAGCTAGCTAAGAATTGCCCTCAAAATTTGTCACTGGTAGTCACAAAAGATATGCAAAGAAATTGCTCATACAAACAACTATGCAACAAAAAGGTAGTGTACATTAAAGTCCACCTGTGTGAAACCTTTCCTGATAACAGCACTTGTGAGGAGAGGTACCAACTTCCTGATGCTGCATTACTGATGTATGCAGAAAAATCAACACTTTCTTGTGCGTATATAACATGAAGAGTGCTATGATGATGGTCAGGGTCCTCCGGGCTTATCTGGATTGAAATGGATATTACAGATAGTGCTTCTCCTCTGGACTTTCAAAAAATGCCATACAACATTTGCCATAAAATCCAGAAAATTATTTTTGGTATATACCAAGTCTGATGAACTGGGATGGCCACTGAACACATGAATGACCTCTGATCAACGCTGCTCTGATCATCAGCTGCTCCAAAAGTCCAGATCTTTCATATCATTCAATCAAGACTATTTTGCAAACTAATACTTCCAAAGCCGTTCTGGCTGCACAGGGAGCAGCCCCTGTCCATGGTGCTCATCTCCCCTGCCTGAACCAGCTGGATACAGGCATCAGGTCAAGACAGATGAATTTCTGGCCACAGCCCTGAGCAATTGGGTATTTAATGGGCTCCTGCATCTGCCGATATTCCTCCAACAAGAAGCCACTAAGCTAGATAACATTTTGCTGATTTGTCATATATCTTGGAGACTTGTACTTTAGGAAACTGGAGGCAGTGGAACAAAGGTATAAGAGCAAATTTCTGTTCCATTTTGGGTCAGAGTGATGAATTCAGGCATTCTCTTAAAGGTACTTTTAACTCATGCACCTAAGATGATTGCTTTTATAACACTGCAAGGGTCATACTTGATTATTTCAGATATCTGCTGAACTACTACTACTGCTGAATTGATTCCTGAGGGACAGCAGCAACATGAATTTCAATGACTTCTAGTCAGAGAAGATAAAAGGCCATTTACCTCCTGTTTCTGGAAAAACAGTCCTATTTTGCTGATCCTTGAGACTAACAAAACAGTTGTAAAGGACAGTAAAGAGAACTACACAAGGCAGTTTCAAAGTTTTGTTTTAGGACACTAGTAAACAAGCCTCTGTCACATATAACAAGTTCACAGAATCTTCAAAACTGTCAAGAGTCTTCTTGACAGAATAAAGAAAAAAGCACACACTATGGAAAATCTATAGCTCTGCTATATGAAAAGGATTTTACTTAAAATGTATTTAAAATTTATTTTATTTGAATGTTTTAAATTAAAACAGCATTTAAAATTAAAGAAAAGAAAGTTCTTTATTCAGTCACCAAAGACTGAGAAAAGACTGGATAAAATTTCAATACAATTCAGAAAGCCTTCTGCACTTCAGTAAACCAGTCTGATTAAATTTAGAAATATAGCAGGTTGTTTGGGATGCAAGCTATGGACAATAACATCTGTGATTAAGTTAATTTCAATCAAATATTCTGATCTATAAACATTAAAGAGGTCTGAATTTCTTTGATGAAGAAAATTAAATCTGGGTTCAAATAAAAAAAAACAAACCTAGATGACTTGCCTAAGAAAAAAAAAAAAAACAAGATGAATGTGTAAGTTGTAAAGTAAACATCCTTGAATCACCTTAATAACTTAAGGATGATTGAAGTGATATAAAGTCGAATTCTAGACCTTGATAATAGGAGTGCTGAATTTTCATCAATTTTCAGACTGCACCTGTTTCAGAAGATACAGTTTCTGAAGGTCAGTTTATCTTAATAGTATGCTATTTCTGAAAGCAAGAGGGCAACAAGTCCATCATAAACACCATTAGATATTTCCTGACATATCTTACTCCAAACTTCTGAATAAAAATATATTACCAGCAGAAAAAAAACCTGATTTTTCCAAAGCTTACTCTGTGGCAGAGATTGATTCAAAAAAACAATCAATTTACACAGTAACCAAAATGTCAACATTGCCAATGGCCACATCTTACAGATAGTGTACACAGAGTGTTTCTATACAAAATGGCACATTTCCCATGTAGGAACCTAGGACATAACTTCAGGAAAATGATAAGCTAGTTTAATGTCTGACTGTCATATGAAAGCATGGTTACTGCTCTAGCCCATCTTGCCTCCTCTTGCAGAAAATTAGTTGGGTTAGTTTTTCCTCTCCAGTTTTTCCTCTTCCCTCCCAGAACAACTTATTTCAGATTAGACAAGTGCAAGAGAGATATTGGCAGCTACCAATTAAATCACCTCAATCATAATGTGGAAACACACCCTAATACATCCTACCCCTAAGCAGGCTGGTAGGCTGGCAGGGTGTCATACCAACGCTGTTATTCTGCCTCTCAAATCTTCAAAGCTAACTTGAACGTCCACATTTATGTTGTACTGTGTACTCTAAACACAGCACAGGCTTTTCAACAGTTTCAAAGTTTTCACCTATAAACCAGACAAATGAACACCAGGTTCAAAACCAGTTTGCACCTGGAAATCTGGTTAAACCAATGTAATGGCTGGAATACAGCAACATCCCAAACAGGGAGTATAGAAAATGAGCTGAAGTCAAATACAACTTTTCTCCATCAGAAACAGAAAGCATTGGAGATCCACAGGAAGAACTTAAGTTTTCTGAAGCAAGAGTTGTATTTGTTAAAAGCATTTTAGATGAAATAAGAACTTACCCAGTTGTTTTTTTTGCCAGCATAGATTTCCATGTTTTCTCCATACTGGGGCTCTTCAAGTAAAGTCTGATACTCAAACATGAGGCGAGAGCTCTCCCGTAGTCGGCTGCACTGAAATTGGTGATACTGCTGCACAAGCTCTTTCACAACAAGCAGGAGGCATTCAGGGTTTGAAGGATTCCAGGAAGCTAAATTCTGTTGATTAGAAAAAAGCAAACCCCAAAATTGTTTACAGCAGTAAAAGACAAGCAATCCCCCCTTCCATACTGATACCCAGAGGCACGTATGCATTTGGAACTTTTGTGACAAAGATAAACCACAACATTAAAATACAAAGGTTCTACCATGCTTTGGAAGAAAGCCAGGTTAAACAGCAGAAGCTTATTTTCAAATAGAAGACCTACCATAAAACTGATAAAAGGACTACTACCAGGCTTATATAGGCCCAAATTACCATTCTATTCTTTCCTAAAATTACGCTGTTTCATCTGAGAACTGGAAAAGTTTGAATTACATTAAAACTGACATGCAACACACAAGGATTAGGTAAGTACAACCTTGCACAGTAACTGATTCAAAAAGCAGTCAACCAAGTGAATATGGCAAATTAACACCAACTACAGATGATACTTCATTATCTCAAACAGTGGCTACATTACCAGTGGCAGAGCAAATGGGCTCTCTTCTCTTGCCTCAACTTTGTGATTTATTTCACCTTAACTGCCTCTTCACTCAAATTACCTTGACTCATCCCCTTAACAGAAATGTCATCCGTACACAGAAGTCTCTTTAATATGCCTGGCAGAAATTTTTATTACAGGTTCACTGTATTTCAAGAAATAGCTAACAGAAATAAAAATGATAATACAATTAAAAGAACTGTGTCAGTAGCACAGTAGTGATGTTACCATTCCTATAATTGGCTTAGATCAGTCTTCTGTGCACAGTTAAGTTTTATCCAGGAAGCATTTGGTGCTACAAACCATACCTAATGTGACCAATGTTACATGCCTACAACTAGTTGACCAAAAAAGGACCTATGTGAAAAGCAAAGGAGGACTCACCCTGTAGTCCATGCTGTTAGACATGAGACAGCACTGATTGAATGCACCTAGGTACTCATATGCTTTGCATTTCAATCTTCAAGTGTTTTTCTTGATACAACCTCAGAGCATGTTAACACAATCATGTGGCTTTGGGTGAGCTTTGAGTATAAACAAAATCAATCTGCATGTCATAGAATCATGGAATGGTTTGGGTTGGTATGGCCCATAAAGATCATGTATTCAGGGGTGGGACACCTTCCGCAAGATCAGGGTGCTCAAAGCACCTTCTAACCTGGCCTTCGACACTTGCAAGGACAGCGTATCAACAGCTTCCCTGTGCAACCCATTCCAGTGCCTCACCACCCTCACAGTAATTTCTTCCTTATATCTAATTTGAATTTACCCTATTTCAATTTAAAGCCATTACCCTTTCTCCCACCACTCCATGTTATAAAAACCTCCCCTTCCAGCTCTCTTGAGGGCCCATTAAGGTACTAGAAGGCCTTTATTACACAGACATTTGACAATAAACTAGCTGCAACAGAATTTAAAATTGTATGAATTGTACAGTTAACATTAAGAAACTCAGAACTAGCACAGACATCTGTATTTTACAACTAAGTGATGATATAATACAGTAGCTTCATAAAATTACTTATCCATATTTGTATTCAATGTAGTTAGATGCCATGTTACTTCTTCCTGTAAGTTGCAGATATTTCATAAACAAATTCATATTTTGTATAACACCAAAAGTAATAAATACAAGTAATAAACACAAGTGAATGAGTTGCACAGAGAAGTTGTTCAGTCTCTGTCCTTAGAGATACTGAAAACCTGACTGGACAAGGACCTGGACAACTTGACCTATCTGATCCTGCCCAGGCAGGGCAGCTGCGCTAATGATCTCTATCTAAAGGCTCCTTCCAACCTCAGCTAGTTTTAGCTTTATGAAGAGGTTTACAAAAAGCTCAAAATGAAACAGGATCGTAGTAAGGTGAGACTCCACAGCTCTGGCCTGAAAGAAAGAAATTAGTTTGTGTATAAATTTTATCTTCTGATACCCCTGATACCCAGCAAAGGCAGATAGAAAGCTTAATCAGTTACTCACAAGGCACCATGCTTCAGCTCTACAATGAAAATTACTTGTAGCCTGATCTCGTAACTAAGATGGCTATTTCCATTAAAAAGTGTTATAACTTTTATTATTTCTGACGACTTTAGATATGTCCCTATGGAATAGTTTTGTACAGACTTCAATATATGTGTTAAATGGCTCAATAGTTCAAGTGTTTCTCTTTCCACAACTTTATACTTTTTTCCCACTTAATATATACTAAGATCATACCAAAATGAATTTGTAATTTTCAGCATCATCACTTGAAACATACCAGTCTAATTTGTCAGTGAAAGCAACGGGAAGTATGTATTGCTGTGCTCTACATGAATGAACAGCTAGCTACAGGACTGAACTGTATTCCTATTTTCCTGCTCACTCTGATTCTGGTTGAAAGGGCTGTTCTGCATGGCTAAAATGCTCTTCTTGAACCTCTGCCTTTAAAAGTTACTCCAGCATCACAGACTTCACATTTGATCACGGCTCAATGTAAAAGTACAGTTTTCTCTCCTAGGAACACTTACAAACTGGTAATATTATCACAGCCATATCTTAAAATGTAAACTACATTCCAGTGGAATTGGTCAATTGGTGATATTTTAATGCAATTGATATAAGTTCCTCAAATACTACAGAGTGACTGAAAACCTTGTTCTTCCTTGTCTGCTACCTACAGCTGGTAAAAATTTGTTTACAACTTGAACCTATTTAAGCTTATCCAATTCTACAAAATACTAGAGAAAATCTGTCAAGTAGACAGCATCTTCTAGGAAACACATTTTCTACCATTCAGTCTGAAACCAGACTGCATATAACCTTAAATTTCCTGTTCCCAAGCTGCTGCTCAAATAAAACATTTCCAGAAAGCCAGAGGATGTAATATGCCAGTATGTATTGATATCAGCCAGACAAGTGGGAATAACCTTTCCTCCTAATGACATTGGTATAACACAATAGAAATGTTCTGTCAAAGGAAATGACCAACAGTATTTTAATAACTGACCTAAATGCAACTGAACCTTTTGTTTTTTAAATAACGTTACACTACAGAACAAAAAAAGAGCAAGAGGAAATCCATTGTCATTTGTGAAGCACAGAGCTAAAGGAGTGCTCTTTTCAAACAATTCAAGAACATTGCATCTAACAGTGTTTATTCTGTATTGCCTTAAAGCTACAGGTATCAAAATTAATGCTTTGACTGTAGGATCCTTACTAAACACTTCTCATTCAGCAACTCAAGTTTCAGAGTACAAACTGGTTATAAAAACAAGTCACCTGAAGGACAATTCAACTACTCACTCAGGACATAGATGAATTATAACGGATTCTCACTGATGAAAGAAGAAACATTCAAACAAGGGCTACACAAATTTTCTGAAACACAAGTTCTGATTTATATAAAACTTTTTTAGCTTTAGAATTATATTATTGTAGTGCATGTTATTTGGCATTTGGCCACTACATTTCCACCCATTTTGTTAACTTTACAGAAGGGCTGTACTTTCCATGAGATCTAAAGTAATAAATTTTTACACAAACACTATCAAATATAGTGCCATGTTTATGGATGAAATTTCTTTTTACATATCTTAGTGTAACTTATTTGCCATAAGCACTAGGTTCATTCACCTGAAAATATTTTTAAGCAACTTTAATTCAATTCCAACAGGATGTCAAGATATGTGCTATATTGTTCTCTGTTTCAAACAACACCTTCTTTAATCTTCCTTCTGTTTTTGAAATCAAAGATAAAGTAAGCAACTACCTGTAAAATACATTGTTGAAATCTGAGGCAGAATTTGATTTGCCAAGTTTATCCCTTTTAGAGTGTCTACATTGCTACAATTTCAGCATCATAGAGATTCTTCTGATGACACACAATTTGTCCCTTTAGTTGAAGAGAGCAGTGTCCCTGCAGCAGCAAGCTGACCTTTTTCTTTAGAGGGAAAGGACCTTCTAAATAAGATTTTATTTAGCAATACAGTATTGTTTTCACTATTAGACTTTGGAAATCATCAAAATCTTAAACTTGGAGCAAAAACAGTAGTAACCTGTATGCTTCATTTTCTGATTGTTTGCCTGAAGGCTGCGTTCCAGCTTAATAAATCCAGCTTTTTAAGAGACCGTAGTTAAGAATATCTAAAACTTTAGAAGACCAGAGTTTCTGGTGTTTGTGTTTCATGGCTTCATGGCTTTCAAGCTCTGCTTGAAAACTGAGATCTTGTATAAGTATTAGAATCTGATGCAACTTCAAGATTATGAGGTTTAGTTGTTACAACTTTTAAAAAATCCTGGGAATAAGAACACAGACAAATCACTGAAGCCAAGAAGATGACAGAAATAACAAGACAATTATGTATGTAGAAAAAGACTTGTTGCTTTCTGTGGCTTATATCAAAATCTTCTGCCTTGCTCACAAATCTCTACATTATCATTTTACCAAAATCACATGCATGCTGGAAATACGGTTTTTTTCCTCTTGAGTTGTGAATAAAATAGAGAAAAAAAAGATCGCAGTGACTGGGGTATTGACAGACCAAGTTACATATTCCACTCAATAAATCCTGCCTAATTTGAAATGAGATTTCTGCAGGCAGAGAGTTAATAAAATTTAACAGAACAATCATTAATGCATTTAAAATAAAGAAATCCAGACTTGGATAGAATCCCTTGCCTTGTTTGCCAATAGATATCTTTAAATGAACTCTGCAGTGCAAACTCCCTAAGTTACTCAATAGTTGGCCAGTTAGACTGAAAGTGGCCCACTGTACAACAATATACCAGTGTGAATCAACCCAAGCTGCATCTGCAACTAGTTCTGCATTCATGCTGATCTCACATGATGGCCTACATGCACAACTCAGATTGGTTAGGACCATCATTAATGTTATCATTTTTTCAGCGTATCATTGAAGAACTTACCTGTTATTTCTGAGCACACAGATGGAGGCTCAAATAAATAATTCTTTTCTGTCTAGACACTGCTTGCATGTCTCTTCATGACCTCCGCTAACACTGTGATCAACTTCATG